CTTTTCTTTTCTTTTCTTTGTAATTTTTTTTAATTTTTATGTTTTTATTTTCATTCCAAACAGGCTTTAATTCAACAATTTAAAAATTTATGCATAGGTGGGGGGACGAATGTTTGGGTACACTTTTAAATTTTTTCATTGTTTGTGTCTTTTGTTTTTTGATTTTTGGTGGGTTTTGGAAAAGCTAAAAGCTAATGGAAGTTCGAAAAAACTAGCCATTCTCTTTCTTGAGTGAAACAGTTTTCACAAAGTTTATGAAACAATTAAGGGCTTGTTTGATTAACAATGAAAATAGTGAAAGAACGGAATTGATAATCCATGGAATTAGTGTAGGATTAGTTAATCTATTAAATTTAGTGAGAAATATTTATTATGTTTATTTTTATTTTTTTCTTTCATACTTGAAATTAATGGTCCCTTTGCTCTCTCAATATTAAAATTCCAGCATTTTCGTCGGATATAAATCCGTATATAAGAGGGAACTTTACGTGTAGGTCTTAATAAGATAGACTTTTATTGTCCATAGGTCTATGATAATTAATGATAGTTTAATAAACACCTATTAAAAAACGTCACTATTGTTAATTTTAATGATAGTTTGAAAATTTTGTCAAAAAAAATGTACTAATTATAAATTTTTAGCGACAATTATAAAAAAATCGTCACTATTTTTTTAACTTTCACGACGATTTGAAAAATTCATCACAAAAAAGTTATATTGTATAAGTTTTAGTGATAATTATAAAAATTATGAAAAAGTCGGCTAAATGGTCATTTTTAGTGACATAAAACGTCCACAAAAAATTATTTTTTAGCGATATTTTCTAGACTTATATTCAATAAGGACTTTGATAAAATTAAGTCAAACTAATTAGAACGTATTGATAATTTTACATTGCATATAAAATTTGCAAACATAGGAATTGTGTTCATGGACTAAGAGCATCTCAACCATACTCTTAAATGCTCTGCAAAGTACAAAGAAAACTACCTTCTTTATTTTGCCTACTAGTTTAGCTAGTGTATACACTAACATAACTCTTTAATTTTAGGAAACCAATCAAACTAACTTAACTAATTTTAAAAGAAAACTATTATAAACATTAATAAATAAAAATAAATAATCTTTTTATGAACATGCTGCATATATTGATGTGGCATTTGCAAATATTTATTTATTTAAAATATATAATTAAATTATTTATAAAAAATATTTTCCAACAATCATATATCTCAACGGTCATATTTTCAAAACGGTAATATTCTCTCAACGGTCATATTTTTCAAATGGTATTATCTCTAAGACAATATTCTGTAACGGACATATTCCTAACGGTCATATTTTTTGTTTATAAAAAGGATTTGCTCTTTCATTTTTACCAATTTGAACTATATTTCTCAACTTCATTTATTTTTAATTACCATGGCTCGCAATACCATGAAATGATTCTTAACGACTTTGACAGTGATGACAAATTGCAGCTAATAACGATAGCTGCAATGGAAGAAGAGCGACTAATAGAGAAAGATGTTCGAGAAGACGTAGTGTTCCATTGAAGGCCATGAGTTATTATCGCGATCGAGTTCAAGGCCATGAGAGACTTTATCGAGACTACTTTCTCAGAAACCAGTAATATATTCTGCCAAGCTATATATCCTGCCCATTTATTCAGGAGGAGATTTCGGATGAATCGATCTCTCTTTCTTCATATTCTATCTACTGTGGAAGCATACGATCCATATTTTGTCCAGAAAACAGATGCTGTTGGAATCATTGGTTTGTCTTCCCTTCAAAAAATGACAGCTGCTATGAGGATGCTCGCTTATGGAGTAGCAGCAGATTCGGTGGATGATTATGTGAGAATTGGTGAAAGCATCGCCATAGAGAGTCTAAAACACTTTGTTAAGGCAGTGGTTGCAATGTTTTCTGAGAGGTACTTGAGGAGTCCTAACAATGATGATATTTCAAGATTATTAGCGGTGGGAAGAAATCGCGAGTTTCCTGGTATGCTAGGGAGCATTGATTGTATGCATTGGAAGTGGGAAAATTGTCCTACTGCACGGAAAGGTATGTATTCTGGTCACATTCATGAACCAACTATTATTTTAGAGGCTGTGGCTTCTCAAGATTTATAGATATGGCATGCCTTTTTTGGGATGCCCGGATCTCATAACGACATCAATGTATTAGATCATTCTTCTGTATTTTCACTCCTTACTCAAGGTTGTGCTCCTCCAGTCAATTACTCAATCAATGGAAATGATTATACAACGGGATACTATCTTGCTGATGGTATATATCCGCAATGGGCAACATTTGTCAAAACAATCTCATCTCCACAAGGGAATAAGCAAATATATTTCGCAAAAGCTCAAGAATCGGCAAGGAAAGATGTTGAGCGAGCATTTGGTGTGCTCCAAGCACGTTTCGCAATTGTGCGAGGACCTGCACGTTTTTGGAAAACGAAAATAATGGAAGATATTATGATGGCATGCATAATAATGCATAACATGATTGTCGAAGATGAGAGGGATGCCAATGGAATAGACTTTAATTATGATACAAATAGTGAAAGTCTTCCACCAGTGTCTCATGAGCGTACATCAGAACTTTTTGAATTTATTCAAAATCATCATCGCACCAGAGGTAGAGGAACTCACTCCAAACTCAAAGAGGACTTGGTTGAACACTTGTGGACACTACATGGAGACTCCTTGTGAGAAGTACTAGTTGGTTCTTCTTGATTTCTGTACTAGTTTATATGCTTTAGTGAGTGTGTTTTCAAAAATATTTGTACTACTTTAGGTGCTTTCAATAATATATCACTAGTGATTTGTTTTTAATCGATGATCTTTAGTGATATTTAGAATAAATGTTTTTTGTCAATAAATCCCTAACTTATTTTTGGAAAAAAAAAATTATAATCATTGATATAAAAAAAATTGTGCTCACTGACGGCAAGTCATACTAAGAAGCAAACATGTTTAAATGCAATACATTTCTAGAAATCAATAGATTTCCAAGTGGACAAAAAAAAAAATAATAAATAAAAAATAACCAAACAGAACCCTCAAAAGTGAAACCCACTTCAACACACAATCAATATCAAGCCAAACCCAATTCAATATAATTAAATTTGACCTAAAACAGAACCCTCAAAAGTGAAACCCAAACAGAAACTCCGAAAGCTGCACTTGTTTCCCTGGTCGGCCCCGAACTTCGAGCAATCGGTTGATTACACCATCGAGAACCGAAGGTTCCTTAATTTTGTAGAATTTCACTCACAAAATTCAATCTCAAGATTGAGCAAGAAGGAAAGAATAAATTAAGGGGGGTCGGTGATGTTCTTGGCCCTGTTCTGAGGTTGCATATCAGAGAGAAAGAGAGCCATACTGTGATCAATGGGCTGGAACAGATGGCGGGAAGAGTGCTTTGCCTAACAATGGACGCTGCCTACTTGTGGAGAGCCAAAACGAGAATGGGCAAAATGCCTCACCATTTGCCTCATGCGTTGGAGCCCTAGAAATGCAGCTTCAATAGGCAAAATGCCTAATTCTCTCCATTTGCCTCTTGTAGATGCTCTAACAATTCCAATCCTATGGTATAATCCTCATAGTCGAACGTACCCTAAAACTGTTTCCTAAAACTTGGGTGCTTTCATTAATTTTTTCCATGAAAAAACTAAATTGGTGAAAAAATAAAGAAAAATTCAAAAAACACTATTGATGTTTTGTGTGAGCAAAAATAGCTTTTGAAAATTCAAAAACATCATCCTGGTATTTATTTTCACCAAACTAGTTTTCAATGTATTTTTCAAAAAACAGAAACCAAACAGATATACTTGCAAGTTCCAATATCTAGTGGTCAGCAATTACTGCAACAAATAGCTTTAGTTTTAAAACAAAACCCTTATCAGTTATCACATCAATTTCAATCTACAACATGTTTTTGTAACTTTTAAAACCCTACGCACAAAAGCTTAATTTATTTAAACCTTAGTTCACCACAGAACCATTCATGGACAGCATCGAAAAATTCTCTCTCTCTCTCTCTCTCTTTGAGGGATGAGATTGTATACGTGAGTGTTGTTTGAGTATGTAAATTCGATGGAAATATAGATGAAATTGAGGAATTAAGAAGAGTTTACGTACTTGTTTGCTGGGAATCATCGGCCACTGGGGACTCTGCTCCTGCTGCTCTCTCTCTTTCGCCTTTCGCCGCTTCCATGTCTGTTTTGTAAATCGACGACTTTTCTTGGTTTACCCGTTCTCGCACACGCATATGAAAAACACACAATTATCAAAACAATCTTTACATTAAAAATCAAAATTTACAGGTGGTTTTTTTCACAAGTTTTGGAGTTTTTAATTTATATATTTTAATTTTTTAATGTAAGTATCCTAAATACACCTAAAAAACCCAAATATATATAAAAAATTTAAAAATTTACTAAATACAAAAACTTAATATATTTTCATATTTTTTATATTCATTAATTTTAAAAAAAAAATTCTTCTTAAAACTTTTTTTTTTTAAAGTACATTTACATTATGTATATTTTTTTAAAAAGTTAACTAAAATATAAAAAAAAAAATTATTAGAAATCACAAAACACAAAAAAAATAAAAATAAATAAATTTAAAGGTACATTTACATTATGTACATTTAAAAAAAATAACTAAATATAAAAAAAATTAGAAATAACAAAATATAAAAATTATTTTCAAAACTCATAACTAATCAGAGTGTTAATTTAAGAATAGAAATTTGTCACAATATAAATTGAATAAATAAAATTTTTTGACACCACACAAATTAAAGTTATCGACACAAATCTCAATCTTGATGTCGTGTGTTTTGCTTTTCTCATTACCTCATTTGAACCAAAACTATAAAAAAAAGAAAAAAACACAAACCTTATTTCTTCATTTGGAGATGTGAACGTCATATGCGAAAGGGGGAGAGACTGATTTTCAATTGAAAAAACAAATTCATAAAATAGCATTTTCATTTATTAGAAAAAAAAAGGGAATAATTACATATCAAGATATTTTTATATAACTAGTTATAAATTAGCCAAAAAAAATTATCAACATTAATAATTAAAATCATAAAATTTTCAATAATTTTGTAATTATTTTTCCAACAATCCACTGAACTGTAATTTTCTCAATAAAAAAAAAAAAACACAAAAAAAATAAAAATAAATAAATTTAAAGGTACATTTACATTATGTATATTTAAAAAAAATAACTAAATATAAAAATAATTAGAAATAACAAAATATAAAAATTATTTTCAAAACTCATAACTAATCAGAGTGTTAATTTAAGAATAGAAATTTGTCATAATATAAATTGAATAAATAAAAATTTTAGACACCACACAAATTAAAGTTATCGACACAAATCTCAATCTTGATGTCATGTGTTTTGCTTTTCTCATTACCTCATTTGAACCAAAACTATAAAAAAAAAGAAAAAAACACAAACCTTATTTCTTCATTTGGAGGTGTGAACGTCATATGCAAGGGGGAGAGACTGATTTTCAATTGAAAAAACAAATTCATAAAATAGCATTTTCATTTATTAGAACAAAAAAGGGAAAAATTACATATCAAGATATTTTTATATAACTAGTTATAAATTAGCCAAAAAAAATTATCAATATTAAAAATTAAAATCATAAAATTTTCAATAATTTTGTAATTACTTTTCCAACAATCCACTGAACTGTAATTTTCTCAATAAAAAAAAACTCAGTTTATTAAATTTCATTTTTCTGTGTTCATTAAGTCATGTTTGGTTCATAACTGTGAAAAAAAAATCGAAAAAAGAAAACAAAAATATAAATGAAATATGACGACATTTCACTATATTTTATCTACGTTTTACACATTTTTTTCCCAATCCCTTTTCAAATTCCTCTACAAATCCATGAACCAAACATAACATTAGAATATCTTTCATGGCCCCAAAAAATGGATGAACTTGAAAAAATAAAGAGAATCTGACCAAAGTTTCAAGATCAACACTCACTGCTAGAACAGGTCTGGCCGAGTCATGAGCTGCCTAGATCACTTGACTAGCTAGTTTAGCAACACAAAACAAGCCTTAGATAGTTTTGGAAAGTCCAAAACCAAAGTATTTATCAGACAATTCTTGAGTAATTGCACCAGCAGAGAACACAAGGCCTGTTTGCTGCAACTTTTCTCAAGTTTAAAGTTAATAAGCAACTCTATAACCTGCACCAAACAGCACCATAGAGACATACCAAAACACCTCAATGCCTCCATATTAGCCTTAAACATCATCTACCATTGGTGCCTATGATGCAACTAGACTCCAGCTTTCTTGGAGAAGCCATCTATCTAGTGATCTTGGTTGTCACCATGGCCTGTGTTTTACCATTCCAATTAGACTTCAACAACTAATTAGGCAAAGAATCATCATGTCTTCCAACATGCCAAAATTCAAAGATTATCAAATTTTTTATCAGAATAGATAAAAGCAATCAAAAAACATCTCAATGATAGGTTATAGGTAACATGACAAAAAAATTCAAAGTCGAGAAATAAAGAAAAGAAAGGAAGAAAAAAAACCAATCACCAGACTAATGAAGTATATAAAAACATTTGTATAATGTACATTAGGCAACAACATCAAGGCTTAAGTTGTTCTTAGTCTTCATTGTAATAAATCCTGTACCCATCCATGGTTTCACAATGAAATCCCCACTCTTCCACTTTTAAGAGGATTTCTGAGATCGAACTGTCGTAATCAAACATCCTTTTGTCACACATGATGCAAGCTGCACTTGACAAAAATATATAAGCCCAAGCCAGCGAGTAAACTTTATAGACTACCAAGGTTAACTGGAAAAAAATGCAAAGAGAGTAATGCACCTTCAAGAGTACATGAAATTCACCATCCAAAACAAAGCAAGCTGCACTTGAAAAATATATAAGGCCAAGCCAGTGAGTGAACTTTATAGACTACTTAGATTAACAGCAAAAAAGTGCAAAAAAAGTAATGCAACCTTCAATAGTACATGAAATTCACCATCCAAGAGAGAGAGAGAGAGAGAGTAAAAAGTATTCATCAAACATTTACAACTCAAACGCTACATATAACTGAATGTAGCACATTTAAGTTTATATACTTTTGACTGCCAATTAACTCAAATAACTATAAATACAACACTGCAATCTACCAGACAATTTTGCACAAGGTAAATGATAAGCAAACCAAGTAGGTACTAGCAGCAAATGTGGCTAAGCCGTATGTTAAGTCGAACTGATATTATCTTTCTTTACTTTTTTTTTCCCCTTTCAATATGTAAGTTGTTTCGGACAGACTGTCTTACCATTGAGTCAAGTAGTCAATCAACATCTTCTTCTCCTGCTCTCTCTCTACATATGTATACCCTGAAATGCATTTATAATAACAAATGCGGAAATGAAATACTGACACTACTTATAAAAGCCCTACACCAGAGTCCTGAGATGAGATGATTATACTTATATATAAGGCGTGTATCGATTCGAAAGTCATGATACGGAGTAAACAAACTCAATCTGTACCTACAATGTGAAACCAATTTTTATAGCTTTGGGAAGGTTCGGTTAACTGATCTAGGGTTTTCGTACAATGGAAAAGACAATGCAAAGGAACCAGGGAATGCCAAACATTTTGATTCATCTGTTTTTCATCTTCATCTTTTTTTGGGGGGTATGTTTTTAATGCTTCCATAGGTTGACATGGGTTCCGTATCAGTTGACCACAACAGCAGCCCAGCTAGGTGAGACTCTAGTCGGAGAGCCTGGTCAAGCCTGAATAGCATCACTCTTCTCTACAGATTCATTAAAGCATAACACAATCGCAGGATCGGGTCCTAATAATAATCAAAACGATAATAATTTCCTGTCATAATACGATCAGCCGATCACCTAAATCAGCAAAGTAAGTCCAGAACATACTTTGACACCTGCAAGAAACCTTTTATCCCAGCAGAGGGCAAAGTAGGGAAGAAAAGGAAGAGGAAGAGTGGAAAAGTGGGGAAAGAAAAGAGAAACGCCATATGATGCTTTGTTCTATTCCATCCTGCAAAATTAAATTCCTAATTTCCAGTATATTTGTGAAGAAATTGAAATAAGCCCAAATCAGGTGGAACAAATTGGTTATTTAACACATCATAAGTGCGAATAAATCAGACATAAGAATAATTATTCGGAAGCCTCATTCATTATGAGGGCAAAAGGTTAGGCAACCGATGCATAACCATGGCCATTTATCAGAACAATTATTTAGCATTGTTTACATGCCTTTCTGAGACCCATGCACCTATTTGTTCATGGACTATCAGAAGTTTGAACCTTCATGAGATTTACACTCACGCTTAGGAACATAAATGACGTGGCAACTAGTTTTGGGTTTCAAAACATGAGATGGCATAAAAAATAAATAATATAATAAAAACAATAATAAAAACGAAAACAAAAATGAACCAGAGGCTTTGAGTTTGTTCTATTCCATCCTGCAAAATTCAATTCCCAATGTCCAGTATATTTGTGAAGATATTGAAATAAGCCCAAATCAGGTGAAACAAATTGGTTATTTAACACATCATGAGTGCAAATAAATCAGACCTAAGAATAATTATTTGGAAGCCTCATTCATTATGAGGACAAAAGGTAGGCAACCGATGCATAACCATGGTCATTTATTAGAACAAATATTTAGCATTGCTTACATGCCTTTTTGAGACTCATGCACCTATTTGTTCATGGACTATCAGAAGTTTGCACCTCCATAAGATTTACACTCACGCGTAGGAACATAAATGACGTGGCAACTAGTTTTGGGTTTTAAAATATGAGATGGCATAAAAAATAAATAATATAATAATAACAATAATAAAAACGAAAACAAAAAGGAACCAGAGGCTTTGAGTACTAAGATATAGGTTGAGTGACCAATTAAATCCAGCTGGCTTACTGAACTAGTAGTGGTATTAGACGAGAAAGGACATGAACTACAACTAAAAGATATGTACTATACATATTTGAATATATTTCATAAAAGCTGAACTGAGGCCTCGTTTGAGAACAGGCTAATTTAGTAACTTTTTGGCTATTTGGCTAAAATATGAGCTAAAAAAAACTAGTATGTTTGGGATGACTTTTTGACTTTTTACGAAAAGATGTGCAAAAAGTAGAGAGAAAAGAGAATCTTTGATTTTTTGGTATGGGTTATTGGCTTTTTGGCTAATTTAGTAACTTTTTAACTTTTTGGCTAAAAAATTCAGTTGCCAAACGAGGCCTGAATATAGGAAAGACCTGAAAGCATGGACCAAAAGAATTACTGACACAAGGGAGAGACAACAAAAGAAGCTGATTTCCGTGAGTCAAAACCTCACCACAAGGCAGGCAAACTAAATAGTAAATCAATTTTGACAAAAAAGAACATCCAAGCAAAAATTTGATAAAGAATATCCCAATAACATATTGGGTATGCCTTCAACTATCTGGTAGCAAAAAGGAGCACAAAGGAAAATGGAGATAAATCAAACATAACAATTGAAATGAAAAATGCTATTTGCACACCAAAAGTATACTCAACTTCAAAACACTTTGCTTTGAATTTGAAGCTCATAAATACAAAGCACACGTTAGGTAGGTAAAAGAATATCGTAACTGGTGCTTATGTCAGTTACCAACAGACAAAATCAAGACCAGAAAGTAGCATTATTCATCTCATTTAAGATATTGTTGCAATAACGTGATCTCCATGTCATCATATTACCAGCGATTGATGAATAGAGTTTTTAATACTTTCCTATTAGAAAAATTAAATCAATTACCTAAACTAAAGCTGAATTTTTTTTTTTTGTTGGCATCAATCCATGTAACACTATAAAAGATTGCATCTATTTTCTCCAAATTCAATTACAGCACTAACAAAATACAGAAACCTATTACAAAAAGCCTAAGTACCATGCTAAGTTTTTCAATAGAAGAAATATAATTTATAATAATTACTATTACCTTCATTCTCCAGCTACCAACCCTACGTTAGCTCCAAACATTTATTTCCATAAATAGTCACACACATTAAAAAGCTAATAGAAACAAACCAACAAACATATCATAGTTTTAGTATAAAAAATGGAATATTTATAATAGCAGGAATTAGAGACAAAGAGAGCTTTTGATAAATATTTTCAAATATTTAATCAATTAGAGATTAAAAAAATAAAAAATAAAAAAGAAGGTATTACTAACAGAGTTTCAATTTTTTCTACAGAGTGGCAGTTTACTCTGAGAAAACTACCTGGGAGGCTCAATTTTGCTGACCACCTGGGTTTGATCCTCCACCATTGTTGCTACTGTTGCTACCATCTCCACTGCCACTTGACTCCGGAGACCCAAATGCCCCAAACGGCCACGGCAACGCTATTCTAAACCTCCGCTCCACCATCCGCTGACCTGGAGACCCTCCGTCACCACTGCCCGACACCGCATTTGTATTTCCTAAACCAGTTTCCCTCTGAGTTCGATTCTCGTAATCAGGATCATCTGTCGGCAACTCAAACCGACAAACCGGGCACGAATTATGCAATTCCAACCACGGAACAATGCAATCAGAATGGTAAACATGTTTACAAGGCATTTGCTTAACATCCATACCACGCTCAAAATCATCTTTACACACAGCACACTGAGCCAATTCAGAACTCAACAATCCATCATCAACAGTAATGGTCGGAAGCGCATTCACAGCAGACTTCGAAGCCGGCGGTGTTCCGTATCGATTCGGATCGTTCTCGGCCAATTGCTGAATCAATTGCTCGAGCCCTGGGCCGACGAAGTAATCGCCGAGGTTCGCCGGAAGCTGAAACCCTTGCTCCGACGAAGTATTGTTGGCGACAACGAACTCGATGTTGGCACCGCCGGCGGCGAGAGCGGCGAGGTGGTTCTGGAGAAAAGCGTAGGGGTCGAACATGTGAGGGTCTTGGGCATAGGACGATCGAGTTGGAGAGAACAAGTTGGGGAAGTTTCTAGGGTTTTGGGGGTCACTGGAAGAGGAGGAGAAGAGAAGAGGGAAACCACTGAGGAAGACGGAGAGAGGATCGGAGAAGGGAGAGAAAGGGTCGAGAGGTAGATGAGGGTTAGGGTTAGGGTTTGGATCTTCGTATTCTTCGAGAAAGCCGTCATCGCAAGAAGGGCAGAGAAGGTCGGTGTTGGGAGAGGGAGTGACGGTGACCGTCCGATTGCATTGGTAGCAGAAATAGAGCTGTGGGCCGCCGTCCACGACGGTTCCTCCGGCGGAGGCCATGTTTTCGATCGATCTATAGGTGAGGAGAGACAGAAATTTACAGAAGAGAAAAACACTTTTGTTTTGTCCTCTGTCTATTTAAATGATCGAAGCCGAGAAATTCTACTCGCCTCACGTGGCCCAACCACCCAACATAACATGGGACGAGGGTTTCTCTCCAATTTTTTTTTTTTTTTTTTAATTCGAAAAACAATTAAAATATGTAGATAGGCAGGATGGGCATCGGCCGTTGGACCGTTTATTTTTTTTAAGATTTCAAAATATAATTTTATATCTTTGAATTTATAGAATTATAATTGTGTTTAATTTAAGGGAAATTTACCCATAAGTCCTAGTTTCTGAAAAGTTAAACCATTTAGTCTTAAAAGTTTTCTTATGTTCCATTTAGTCTAATTTGCACATCAATCTAATGTTCGAAACATTAATCTGATGTTCGAAAGCTAATGTTCGAAACATTAATCTGATGTTCGAAATCTAATGTTCGAAACATTAATCTGATGCTTGAAACATTGTAATGGGACCTTTCAGTCTATAAGAAAAATTTTAAGACTAAACAGTGTATAAGTTATTAATTTGGGATTTATAGGTGCATCTCCCATTTCAAATGATTTTATAATATTTTAATTAATATGATATTAAATGTTTAACTGTTAATTCGATAAGCCTTTATTTATTTATAAAAAAATAATAGGTACTCTGATGTTTAGTTTTTTTTAAGAACTTATGTATATAGCTTGATGAATAGATTTAGGAATTATAATTTATATTAGAATTGTGATTGAAATGATTACATAAGTCCGAGGTTCGGGTTTGGTGAATTTGGACAAATGTTGGCACAGCTCGATGAATGACCACCCTAGATAGACATGGTTTGTTTTTTAAAAAGTTAATTTAATTTTTTAAAACTAAAAATTAATTTTATATAAAGAAATAAAAAAATTGTATTATTTTTATATTTTTAGAAGGTAATTTTTTTTAATTTTAAAATATATTTTTAATACTTATTTTTGTCAAATTAATTTTTATTTTTTTAAAAAATAATTTAAAAAACTCAAACCAAACAAGCATATGTGAAACAAATTTTTTTTTTTATCAAATTAAAAATTTAGTAAATTCTTTATCAAATTAGAATTTGATCAAAATTTAAATATATAAAATTCTTTATCAAATTAGAATTTGATCGAAATTTAAATATATAAAATATCGAAGATGATTTTTTAATTAAATTTGATGAAAATATAAATTACAAATAAAGGATAAATTTTTAAAAAATTTGATGAAATAATAATAAAAGCATTGAAATAATTCATATTAAATTAAATTTTTTACTTAAATTTATATTTAAATTAGATAATAATAAAAAATTGATGAAAAGTTGAAAATGCTCATAAGCGACAATAATTGATAAGCTGCTAAAAGGGGAGTTGCATGTAGCTGATACGTGAGAAGGGAGTTGTAGGCAATGAAAAAAAAAGGTAAATTATGTAAATAAGCTCGCTAGTTTATACGATATGTTCGTCTGGTCTTTGTAGTTTTAATTTGTTTAATTTTATTCCTTAATTTAATTAATTGTATTATTTTAATCTAATAAATAACGGTTGTTAAGTTAATTTAACGGAAGATTAAACAATATGTCAATTTAGACCATGTACTATGATTTGTCAATTTGGTCTCTGTAGTTTTAATTTTCTCAATTTTGATTGGGACTAAATTGACACATTATGAAAAATATAGGGACCAAATTGATATATTATTTGACTTTCTACTAAATTAACTTAACAATTATTATTTATTAAACTAAAATGACACAATCCGTTAAACTAAAGGGTAAAATCTAACAAATTAAAATTATAAAGATCAAATTGACACATCGTGTAAACTACAGAAACTATTTACATAATTTTTCAAAAAAAAAAATGACTTCATAATAGGTTGCATGTGGTACAGATTTAAATCAAAGAAGTTTTACAACCCTACCTCGTTTATAGTGCGATTTAAATTCTTGTCCTCTCTCATATCAGAGTGTTTGGCTTGGAGACCTTGTTGGGTTACAATCCCTTAGTATTTCTCTACATTTTATGTATAAGAAATCGTTAGTGTGGGGATATATTTCTTGAGTACCAATACGTGGCATGACGACGCCGACATTTTTGGCTGAGGTACCACGTGTCATGGAAATTACGCCAAGGTGATCTCGGAGTTGCCGAGGTTGTCTCCGAAGATATCGGAATCCGAGAAAAGCGGATAAGGGACAAGAGTCCTAGGACAAAGAGGGGACTTAGCCAAGATAAGGATAAAGCTCTTAGGGAGTTTATCTTTATCTCTTGAGAAATTCTAAGTAATCACTAAATTGAAGTCTATAGAAGTTATGCTTCTAGTAGGACTTGGATTGAGTTAACTATAAAAGAGAGGCACCCCCATGGGTCTAAGGTACGTAGTTTTATACTCAAACTTGTGAGTTTAGCACTTGATTATCTTTGAGAGATATACTGACTTGATCGTTGGAGTGTCCCCGGGTGGAGGAGCCACCGTCGAAGCCCTTTCTTTCTGTTACAGGTTACTGGAGCCATCTATTCTGCCAGTGTTCTCCAGCTGATTACTAGGCGGGCAGTGTGGTAAGAAAATTATTCACACAGTTAGATATAAGGAGTTGAATATAAAAATAAATAACAAATATATAAAGACACAGAAGTTATCAATTGCAAGAGAATACACCATCTTTAAAAGTAGTTTTGCGCATAGTAATTCTATGCAGCAAGTATCGGCTGTCTCCCTCCAAAATTCATAGCCTATTTTTTCTCAATTATGATGTAGAAATCATCCATAATTACTCATATAAAGATGAACATAAACATAAAGCGAAAACAAGAATAATAGTTTATTGTGTGTCAAAACACAATGAAGTGGTTTGTACATATGATGGAAGTCGCATTATAAGAAAAATGGGTTTTTAAGGCGGAACTATTTACGACGGCACACATGCCGTCTCAAAAAGTCACTTTTTGCGATGGCAAAAAATACCGTCTCAAAAAAATAGAGTATTTGCAACGGCACCATTTGTCGTCTCAAAAAAGTAGAGCATTTGCGACGGCACAATTTGCCGTCTCAAAAAATGAGAGCATTTGTGACGGCAGAAAATACCGTCGCAAATGCTCTCATTTTTTGAGACGGCAAATTATGCCGTCGCAAATGCTCTCATTTTTTGAGACGGCAAATGGTGCCGTCGCAAATACTCTGCTTTTTTGAGACGGTATTTTCTGTCGTCGCAAAAAATGACTTCTGTGTTTTTTTTTTTTTTAGTGAATATTTTTTAAATTTTAAATATTCTTTTTAGATGCACCTTACTTAGATGTATCTAAAAAAAAATTATGAAAAATATTTTTAAAAATTAATAAATATATAAAAATACAAAAAAAAATGTATTGAATTATTGTATTTTTGGTATTTAGTGAATTTTTAAAAGATTTTTTTTTACAATTTTTTATTTTTTATTTTTAGGTGTATTTATGTTAGGTGTGTCTAAAAATTAAAAAAAAAATACTTAAAATATTAAAAAAATTCAGTAAAAACAATATAACACGAAAAATATGAAAGTATAATTTTCTCAAAAGAGTTTTTGGAAAACTTTAACCTAGTATAGTGATTGTGGTTTTGAAACAGCTTCATATATATACAGTCACAAAATGGTTTGAATAAATTCTAGTACTTTTTTCTGTCGCAAAAAAAATAAAAAAAAATAATGTCGTCTTACTCTTTTGATATAACATTTCTCTTTTCATTCATTTTTTCATCTTCCTATCTCTCTGTATTTATCTCTCTCTGTTCTCTTTATCTCTTTCACTCATCACTCTTCTTTCTCTGTCTGTCTGTGTATCTCTCTCATTTTCTCTCTGTGTCTCTCGCATATCTTTCTTCTCTCTATCTCTTATGTCTTCTCTCTTTATCTCTCTCGCTCATCTTTCTTCTCTCTATCTCTCTCATTTATTTATTTTTTCTCTCTCTCTCTCTCTCTCTCTTATTTATATCTCTCTCTCTATCTCTCTCGCCCATCTCTCTTTTTCTGTGTCTCTCTCTCGCTCTCTCTCGCTCATTTCTCTTCTCTCTCTGTCTCTATCTTTTTCTGTGTCTCTCTCTCGCTTATCTATTTTCGTTCTATTTCTCTCTCTTTTTGTCTATCTCTCGCTCATCTCTTGTTTCTCTCTCTTTTTCTATCTCTCCATTTATCTCTCTCTCTCTCTCTCTTTCTCTCTCTCTCTCTCTCTCCCTGTCTCTCTCTCACTCATCACTCTTCTCTTTCTCTCTGTCTACTTGTCTATTTGTCTATTTCTCTCTTACTATGTTCTCATTGCTCACTCTCTTACTCACATCTTCTCTATTTATCGAGCTCCTTCTCGATTTATCGATCCACTATAAACGACGTCGCCTTACTCTTTTGAACATTTCTCTTTTCACCCATTTTTTCATCTTTCTATCTTTATGTCTCTGTCTCTCTTCTCTTTCTCTCTCTTGCTCATCACTCTTCTCTGTCTGTTTGTCTCTCCCTTTCTCTATGTGTCTCTGTCTCTCTTCTTTGTCTCTCTCTCTCTCTTCTGTGTCTCTCTCTCTCTCACTCATCACTCTTCTCTGTCTGTCCGTCTCTCTCTTTCTCTCTGTGTCTCTGTCTCTCTTCTCTTTCTCTCTCTCACTCATCACTCTTCTCTGTCTGTCTATCTGTCTCTCTCTTTTTCTCTGTGTCTCTCGTCCATCTCTCTTCTCTCTATCTCTTTTTTTTTTCTCTCTCTCTCTGTGTCTCTCACTCATCTCTTTCTCTTACCACTCATCTCCTCTACCACTTTCACCACTACTGCAAACGCCATTTCACTACCACTACTACTACCACGGTCGCCATTTCACCTCTACGACTACCATTACAACTACCATCGCCACCACTCCACTACCACTATTGTCACTACTACTACTACCATTACCTCTTTTTCACCACTGCCACTCCATCTACTCTACCATTACCACAACTTCACCACTAATTTCCTTCGCCATCACCACTACCACCATCGTCTCTTATCCACCACCTTCACCACTACTGCCGCTTCCTCTC